CAACATTTAATAATTCGAGATTCTTCTTCTTTTATTTTTGCGTTAGCAACCTTGTGTTATGCTGTAAATGTAGACTTTCATATTAACGCCTATGGGCCCAAACATCATCATCATTAGGTGCCTTGCCGACTGGCGTGGGCGATCATGCCTCTCCTTAATCCACGATCTCCAGCATGTATCAGTTCGCGTGCCATGCAACAAGGCTGTCAAGAATCTTCTCTCGTTTTCTTCTTCTATCCCTCCTTCCACAGATCTTTCCAGTGGTCACAACTTGTTCTATTTTACCTTTTTCTCATAACATGACCGAAAAATGATGACTGTCTCTTTCTGATGTCCGTGATAAATTGTCTTCGGGCTCCCGCCTCTTTCAAAACCTCTTGGTATCTCTTTTTGGCCCCAAACATACAGTTTTATAAAAACAAAACCCCTAATTGTCGCCGTGTAAAGTGACAATAGGTATATACACCCCCCCCCACCCCCACTGAGTAGATAGAACCCACGAGGGATACAGATTAATAAGTAATCATATATCTTCTTCGGCCGGCGTAATGCTGACCACATTACCCACCGAGTGCCGATTGGTCTGTAAAAAATATGGGACGCTCTGCCCATACGCCCGATGCGCTGAAAGGCGTGAAAAGGGATCTTTACTTTATATACTTTTATATATCTTCTTATTCTTCTTCGCATTAATCAGCTGTAAACACCGACATAAAGTTCCATTTGTTTGTCCATGTCTGGGTTTTAGTCTTGTCCTAAAATCTAAATGTTGCGTGCACATCTGTTTCATTAATCTGATTGTTTATATGCAGTCTGTTGGTTTCTTGCCTCTTAGGCAAATACACTCGATTCCTACGTCATGCTTGTTGGGAGGCAGTGGGAATGTTCTTGTTTTCGTCACAATAGGATCCCGGAAGCCAAACGGGATATTGATAATTGATTAAAAAAAAGTAATTTAATATTAACAATTCAAGATTAATAATTCCAGATTAATGACTGAAGAATAATAATTCAAGATTAATAAATCAATATTATCAAATAAATATTATGATTAATGATTACTTTTGTGTATTTCCGAAAACGGTAACTTGCTGAAACTTCGTGATAGCTACCTGTTTAATAGTGATTACATTATATATCAAAGGTTCTGTCTATCCATCCCTAAATCCTTTCACCCATCCATCTGTCTGTCTGTCTGTCTGTCTGTCTGTCTGTCTGTCTGTCTGTCTGTCTGTCTGTCTGTCTGTCTGTCTGTCTGTCTGTCTGTCTGTCTGTCTGTCTGTCTGTCTGTCTGTCTGTCTGTCTGTCTGTCTGTCTGTCTGTCTGTCTGTCTGTCTGCCTGCCTGCCTGCCTGCCTGTCTGTCTGTCTGTCTGCCTGCCTGCCTGCCTGTCTGTCTGTCTGTCTGTCTGTCTGTCTGTCTGTCTGTCTGTCTGTCTGTCTGTCTGTCTGTCTGTCTGTCTGTCTGTCTGTCTGTCTGTCTGTCTGTCTGTCTGTCTGTCTGTCTGTCTGTCTGTCTGTCTGTCTGTCTGTCTGTCTGTCTGTCTGTCTGTCTGTCTGTCTGCGTGTCTGTCTGGCTACCTCTCTGATTCTCTGTCTGTCTGCCTGTCTGTCTGTCTGTCTGTCTACCTGTCAGTATGTCTGTCTTGCTGTCTATGTGTTTGTAAATGTATAACTGTGTGTACGTATGAGTGAATGTATGGAAATTTTTTAAGTTTGTGTGTGTGTGTGTGTGTGTGTGTGTGTGTGTGTGTGTCTTTGTGTGTATGTGTGCGTGTATCTATGTCTCTGTGTGTGGGCGTGTATCTATGTCTCTGTTTGTGGGCGTGTATCTGTGAGTTTGCCTCTGTGTGAGTCTGTATGGTGTCCGCGTGCGTGTATTTTGTGTGTGTGTGTATACGTGTGTGTGGATGTGTGTCTATATGCGTGTTTTTATGTGTATATGTTGTTTGTGTTTGTGTGTGTGTGTGTGCGTGTCTGTGTGCGTATCTGTCTGTGTTAATATCAGGGAATATCAGAGTGAAAAGGAGATGTCGTTAGCCTAGGGTGGTGACGTCACACCATACTGATGTCATCAGCCCAATGGCCCTTAATGGAGATGGTCATGGTCTGTGTATGTGTGTGAATGTGTATGTATGCTCGTAGGTATGTATCATTCAAAAACAAATAGCAATACACAAATTTTATTTTTTAAAGAATCAACACTCTCAGAAGTACTGAAAAAAATTTTTAATTTTTTTTTTTACATGCACTTAAAAGATGTAGTTTTCTCTTACTGTTCATAACTGAAATGTCCATAGAGGTAGCATAAAATATCAAGATGCATCAGGTGATGTTTGTATAAGTGTGTGTGTGTCAGAGAGAGAGAGAGAGAGAGAGAGAGAGAGAGAGAGAGAGAGAGAGTCTCTCTGTGTGTGTGTGTGTGTCAGAGAGAGAGAGAGTCTCAGTGTGTGTGTGTCAGAGAGAGAGAGAGAATCTGTGTGTGTGTGTGTGTCAGAGAGAGAGAGAGTCTGTGTGTGTGTGTGTCAGAGAGAGAGAGAGTCTGTGTGTGTGTGTGTGTCAGAGAGAGAGAGTCTCTGTGTGTGTGTGTCAGAGAGAGAGAGAATCTGTGTGTGTGTGTGTGTCAGAGAGAGAGAGAGTCTGTGTGTGTGTGTGTCAGAGAGAGAGAGAGAGTCTGTGTGTGTGTGTGTGTCAGAGAGAGAGAGAGAGTCTGTGTGTGTGTCAGAGAGAGAGAGAGAGAGAGAGAGAGTCTGTGTGTGTGTGTCAGAGAGAGAGAGTCTGTGTGTGTGTGTGTCAGAGAGAGAGTCTGTGTGTGTGTGTCAGAGAGAGAGTCTGTGTGTGTGTGTCAGAGAGAGAGAGAGTCTGTGCGTGTGTGTGTCAGAGAGAGAGTCTGTGTGTGTGTGTGTGTCAGAGAGAGAGAGAGAGAGTCTATGTGTGTGTGTGAGGGGGTGAGGGTGGGGGGTAAAAAGCTTTCCAGATCGCCGGTAGTTATCCCTCTGTGTTGATGTTTGAAGAAAAAATAGTTGACACTTTGTACTGTGGTTTACAGCAACGCTGCGATATCTGCTCGTTACTGGTCAAGGGATAGAATTTTCAAATACCCCTAATTTATCGCTTTTTTAACGATATGTGTTTCAGGAGGGAGTTTCCCCTCTGTATGGGATCACAGAGCCTGTGGAAATGAGCGTGACGTACTGAGGGGAGCTTCGTAGCATCCGTCGACGATCTGCTGGGTTGCTCGTCAAAAGTGCATCTGATGAAACAAACCCACAAAGTTCGGAGCGCGAGGGAAATAGCTTAGACATGTAGCCCCTGACACCCCCCCCCCCCCATTTCTATTCCTGCTGATTGAAATCATGTTGACAAAGTCGTCAGCGCAAGGGCGTATCGCCATAGAGGCCCTAGTTCAACTACTACTGAGAAGGGATACTTTTAATAACTGTTCATGGTAGTTAAACCATAGAAATCCTGGTTCAACTACTACTGAGAAAGGATACTTTTAGTAACTGTTTACGGTTCCTACACCATAGAAACCCTGGTTCAACCACTATTGAGATGGGATACTTTTAGTAACTGTTTACGGTACTTAAACCATAGAAACCCTGGTTCAACCACTACTGAGATGGGATCATTTTAGTAACTGTTCACGGTTCTTAAACCATAGAAGCCCTGATTCTTCATATTGAGATGGGATCATTAGAATAACTGTTCACGGTTTTTAAACCATAGAAGCCCTGATTCTTCATATTGAGATGGGATCATTAGAATAACTGTCGACGGTTTTTGAGCCGACCATAGTGTTCGCTTCGTAAATAATACTTTTTAGTATCGCTGATATTTCTCTTCTGTCTCACTCACGGATCAGACGCAAGGTAAATTAAATGTATTTTGATGCGAGATCACAACCGCTAAGTCTGAAAATCCTCGGTCGAAAGACAAAGATAATGAGAATAAATCAGGCGAAAAGTAATGTAGTTTTTCTGAATCGTATCCCACTCCAAGGCGTGGAGTCGTACATCTTTTTGGGCAGTAATATAAATAAAGATGGGGAAACAGATAGAGATATTAAAATATGAATACAAAAAGCAAGAGGAGCTTGTATAGCATTATAAAATTTGTGGAGGTCAAAAGAAATTAAAACTACTGTAAACATAAAATCTTTAATGTCAAGTCAGTACTGTTGTATGGAGCGGAACCGTGGAGAACAACTAAAGCAGTTAATTATAAACTATTAACATTCATTCTTTTGTGCCTAAGCAGAATAGAGAAAATTAACTAGTATGATAGAAGCCCTAATGAAGAACTTTGGAAGAAAACTAAACAAGTTCCAGCAGACCAAGAGGTGAAGAAAAGACGCAGGCGTTAGATATGACACACGTTAAGAAAACTTGAGAACAATATAAGTAGAATGTCTTTGCACTGGAACCCACAGACATAGAAAAAAAGGACGAAAACACGCACGCACACAAACAGACATACACACACACACCCACGGAGAAGGGAACTAGAGTAAAGTAAAGATCCTTTTTCACGCCTTTCAGGCGCAACGGGAATATGAGAAGAGCACCCATATTTTTCGGGCCGTCTTTACTTCCCCAGGACATACATCCTGGTACCCATTTGAGGCTGGGTCGAACTGTGACGACCCATACCACGATAAATATCCATGCAGCCAGCAGTGGCTTTCAATCGCGGCATGTTGGAATTACGAGTCGGGCTTGCAACGCCTAAGCTACGGGCGCTGCAGGGAGCTAGAGAGCGATGTTAAAAAAGAGATGGGGTGGGGGGGATGAGGAGAGCTGCATGTGATAGCAAAGGATAGGAGGACTTGGCGTCAGTTGGCTGGGAGCCTATGCTCCTCTAGGGGTTAGAAAGGCAGAAGAAGAAGATATTTCTGCGGTCCATGCAAAAAGAAGGCTTGTCTGTTGGAAGAAATGTAAGTGCGCTATATAACAGTTCTTGTAGTGTATAATGTAAGCTAAGTTCGCTAGGAAGCTCCTGTTCATGTGCAGTCGTCGGTCTGGGCGATGCTCGTCTCGTTCATCTGGTCCTTCTCCACTAATGGAGTCGTCACCACAGGAACAGCTCTTAGTTCTATCTCTTCCTGCAAATCACAGAGTCATTCGTTAGCATGCAAACGTGGCATATCTGGAGTGAAAAATGACTGAACACACACACACACACACACACACATACACACGTACACTCACACACAGACACACACACACTCACTCCTTCACTCTCTCTCTCTCTCTCTCTCACTCACACACACACACACACACACACACACACACACACACACACACAAACGTTAAAAGCTCGTCAAAAAAAATATAAAAACAGACAACAAACATTTTCGTCAACAATTTTTACTAACCAACAAAATAAAAGAAATACTGCGTTAAAAAAAAATATAAAACAAGAACAAGATTCACCCACCCCCCTTTTTTCCCCCCCCCCCCCCCCCCCCCAAAAAAAAAAAGACAATTCCTTGACAGAAACGGAAAGCGGAAAGCTGAAACAAGAAAAAGTATTAAACAAAAATATAAACACTTAAATAGATTAAGATAATTGATTTCTAGTTGTATTTATATTATAATACTGCATCCCAATATAGGACGCAATTGTGTTTTTTTTTTAATGCCCCACCCTGGCTGTTGCCGGGGTTCCTAATATAACCCAGCCTATTGGATAAAGGGGAATTCTTGGACCTGTGCCCGGTTAAATTTTATCAGAATGGTGGCACTTTGTATCACCGGGTTTTCAAAGCTTGGTGTGATGTCCTGGTGGGCTTGAACGTCAGCCAGTCAGTTTATTTATAGTTAATTCGTTAATCGACAGATGATCCTGACTGTGAATCAGACAATACCTCTTTTGACCTGATGTTCTTGTAGTCTTTTGTATGTTGTCGACATAGCGTCGTCGTATCTTGAATCATTTACTCGTCCTACATCATTGGGAGCACTGAGAACATCGGCCTGGTGCTTTGCTTGTTCTGTACCTACCGTCACCCTTCCAGCAATTCAATCCGCTCTTTTACTTCCCTTTACCCCTGAATTCCGTGGTAAACAAAATTTCCTCAGTTGCTCAGAATATTGTCTGCGAACTCATCGTGTCTCGATCTTCCTTAGCATGTTCGTGGAATCACTTAGAAAGCACACCATTGGGAAAATGTCCTTGCCACATCATTTTGCTTTTGTTCCAGCCACTACCCCTATAGTTAGACTACCTGTAGTCAAGACAAAAGCACCTATTTCTTTACTATGAATGTGCTGTTGAGGCAATATTCAATGGACACAGCAGCGCTGGAACCTTGGGGATTAGAATCGTTGAGTTTAGGGGTGTGCGGAGCCGCCCTTCTCTTTCTTTACCCTAGAACATTTGAAATGGGACTGACCAGAAGTCATCTATTATTATTATTATGTTCTGAAGGATAAAAAAAAAAATGCTGATATTCAGTATTGGAAATTATAGGAAATGTTCTACAAATACTTCAAAATAGAGCGTGTATAAGGGAGTCGCCGTGGCCGAGCGGCGGATCGGAAGGTCGTGGGTTTACTCCCTGGCGGCCAAAAATGACCTTGGCTCCCAGGTCGACCCAGCCTTGAGTGGGTACCATGTGCAGTCCGGGGGAGTAAAGGCGACCGGCGTGATAATGACCACATCACCCACCTTGTGCCGATTGGTCTATACAAATATAGGTCCAGCCCTATATGCCCTATACGCCTAAAGGCGTGGAAAAGCGTCCTGTACTTTACTTTACTTAGAACTTCTATACATGGTTATTGGTACCATTTAACAAATTTATCAGGTTCCTAATGCCTTTAGGTTCTGGTACCTTTGGTCGGAAATGTGAAACTGCTCTCACAGTCTTAATGCCCGTAGACGTTTATTTCGAGTCAATACTCACTCTGTCTTCGTGGTGCTGATCGTGTGTAGACTTTGAAACTTGAATCGTTCCCTCACGTGTGTTTTCAATGACAGAGTAGCCGTCCATTATTGTGGAGGAAGTCAGGCCGGTATTTTTCCTGGTGTGTCCCGTCATCAGTTTGTGCTGCTGCCACTTCCGGAGAATGAGAGATTTCACCTGGAAGACATTTCGGTTGCAGATGATAAAATATAAAACATATTTTGACACATCTAGCCTTGTTTAAGTGCGCAATAATTATAAGTATAATTATCAGGTTGTGATAGTGGCCGATACCACACAGTTTGATGAAAAGTAATGACATCCAGGTAAAAATAGCCGTTGTTTACAGAATCGAAATGTGCTAAGCATGAAAATGACAATGAAAAAAACAATACTGATTACAGATCCCGTGATATAATATAAAAAAAAAAAAAAAAAAAATTAGATACAATACAGCTATGGTTTTATAATTTTTTTTTTTCATATCGCGCTTCTTCAAGTATATGGCAACTCCCCTTGCCTCCCCCCCCACCCTCCCTCCCCCCTCCCATTTGAGTATTTGGCAAGACCACCACGCTCCCTTGAGTATTTTGCAAGCCTTTGGCGCCCTCATAAGTATATGGACACGCCCCTTTCCAACCTCCCCCACCACCCTTCTAGCCGACATAACCAAATGTGATTACAAAGAGGAGAACAGTAGATTCCGCAACAGGAGAAACAGAAAGTATGACGATGTTTTTGCAAGAATGTTTTTCTAATCTATAATTAAATGCACGCGTTATCATGTTAATTATATTTTTACCTGTACATTATAAACTGCTCATGAAAAAAAAAAAAAATTCCATAGTCTTTTGTTTTAAAAAGTTTCAAAAATATTTTACAATTGAAGAGAAAAACAAATTATAACAGTAGTTTGACAAGTACCAATGCACTCAAACTGCTTGACTTCCCTCTTTTAACCTCTTTACCCATCCTCCCTCTTCTTCTAATATTTCTTTGTTCACTGGCTGTTGGCGTCGGCGGAAATTCCTGGTTGTTCGTCAACTTGGTTTTGCGTTTACATCCGTTTTACTGGCTTTTACGTGTGATGTTGGTTGTTTCTTGCTGCTCTGGCAGATGCACTCCGACTTCGAAGGAAGTCACGAATTAGGTGACTTCTACGTCATGCTTATTGGAGGAAGGAGTGGGTATATTCTTGTTTGCCCCACAATGAGGAACCGGAACCATCCCGGGAAACTGTTATTCCAAATCATACGTCATGGGTAGGATATTTCAAAGCCGAACTCTTTCCAGCCCAGCTTTGTGAACTGTTGTCTATCGAACTACTACTATCTTTACCCTTTTCCACGCATTTGGGCGTATTTGGCATACAGGGCTTGGTCTATATTGCACTAAAATGTTTGTTGCATAGCCTTTACATGACGTTGCAGAACTGACTCCAGCATGTGTTGGCTTTTGTGATTTTTCTAGGCAAATCTTACGTTCAGTAGTTTGCCATTGCCCCCTGAACTGACAGGTCTCAGTACCACTGTGAAAACCACCGCAAGGCAAATCGTTCTCGGCTGGTATCGAACCGGCACCTTGGCATTACGAAATATTTGACACTATTGTAGGTTATACTGTATTGTCTCTTGTTGTCAACGTTCTGGCGTAATTATGTGTCAGTGCCCAAATGTCTAGGGATGCCAGCTCAAAAGTCTAAGGTTCAAATCTGCATCGAGGCTAATAGGCTGCCTGGTCGACTCAGCCTAAGATGGGTACCAGGTAATGTTTTGGAAATTAAAAATGACCTAGGTCATACTGTCATATCACCCATCTGGTGCCAACTGGTCTATAAACATAAAGGTCTAGAACTATATGCCTGATGCGCCAGGTTGGAAAAGGGCCCTTGACTTACTTACACGAGTACAATACAGTGCAGACCTGAAGGAGAACTCTCTGGGGTCCCAAAAAATGATTCTTCTCACCAGAAATTCCTCTTACCCAGACGAAAATTCGAGTAAGTACATTTAAAGAGGAACAAAAATTGTTTTTCACAATAGAAATTCGCCAAATCAGTGATCGCCATAAGCAGTCTGCATGGTACAAATGTCTGTAAACCATCAGTTAGTGTTTCTTTAGTTTTAAACGCTCCATATCCGGAAAAATCATTGTATAAAGAAAATCAGCAGTTAATGAGAATTCTCACCTCACCGTTACAGAAACAGAATATGATTGCAACCAATGTTCCCTGAAATGAAAAACAAATGCAGATGCTTATTAATTTGTTTAATAAATGGTTTCAGCTTGTATATAATAGAGCATCAATTGTGAGAAATAAGCACGTGAACGTATCATCTGCCAGAAGGGGCTGCTTGGTCTCGAGGCATGGTGTCCACCTCGGGTTCAATCCCTGGTAAGGACTTGACTCTCACGTGGACTTGGACTTTTAGTCCCGGTCTCTGGGTAGTGAGATTGGACGCCCGAGTGTATTGTTGCGCACGTAAAAAATCACATGGTAGTTGAAAAGCCTGTGCACTGTGCTGAGCTTCTTCGGACTCAGACTTGAGTTAGAAGAAGAACGGAGCACTTATGCACACTACCCGTGTGCCATGATGCTGATCCGTTGTTCAAACTTAAAACAACACATACTGCCATATAGCATTTTCCTTTATTTGAAAAAAAAAATTGCCGACTGTTCTGCAAAATTATCTACTGAGACTCATTTTTCCCCTATCACATGTAGAGCACCACTGTTTCAAATCATTTTTCTTTCGGATATATGTTGATGGACTCGTATTTTACAGACCAGTCGTCCTTCTTTTGCTTCTTTTTATGGTTCACAGGCTATATACTCCAGCGGAAAGTTATAGCACTTAGTTCACTTCTATATTTTGTTTTGTTTCAGAACTTGACTTTTGCACGCACACCCATTTTACAGATCTGGCTATTTAATGCACAGACTGTTAGTTCCTTGCCTCTCAAGAATATGCCCTCTCACTTCCAAAGAAATCCCTAATTAGACTCTTTGGACATGCTTGTAAGAGTAGAGAGCCAATGGGGTCCAGCAACCTATATGTGTTGTGATGAACATGTGGTATAGTTTTCGTTAGCTCAGGAACAGAGCAACTATTGAGTGATCTTTTCTTCTTTGTGTTTACCAGCTGTAAACTCTGGTGGAAAATTCTAGTTGTTCGTCTACTTCTGGACTGCAGTACTGTTTAAGAACCTGAGTGTTACTGTGCATCCGTTTGACAGATCTGACACAATTGTGTGCAGACTGCTGGTTCCCTGCCTATCAAATAGATGCGTTCTGGAGTAATCTGTTTAAAATGAAGTTGGTAGTACGATTACCTGACATGTGTCATTAATTGGCTACATTTAACATTTTCCTTTAGCAGAAGTGAAACTTCAGCGCCCTTCTATCTTGTATATATTCAGGTTAGTTGCGTATCCTTTACAAGACGTTGCAGAACCAACACCAGCAGCCCCTGGCTGTTGTGTAGTTTCTCTAGGCAAATTTACGACCATTAGTTTGCCATTGCTGCTGGACGGTCGGCCCCCTGATACCACTGTCGTAAAACCAACGCAAGGCGCATGGCCAGCAGCTGGGATCGAACCCGGCACCCCGGCATTACGAAGCTTGGATATATGTATATCGATAGAAGCATCAAAGCTCTGCAAGCCAGTAACAATGGAAATATGTATTTCTAATGCCTAGTTCTGAGAAATATCTAAGTATCGTTCTCCAACCGATGATAATTTAGGTTTGTTACAGAAGAGCTGACCGCCAATGAATTGCAAGCGTGACTAGTGTATGATGTGATGGAAAGGTCGCAATTCCAAGTGGCTCGGTGGATGCAATGGTCACAAACAATATAAAAACAAAGCCGTCACACGGTGGTTTGGTTTTTATTTCTACTTTAGTTCTATTACGGAGATTTACTGCTTTTATAGGATTTTTGTTGTTGTTGTTGTTGCTTTTGCTCTTCACCTCTATTACTGTGTTTGACTTTGTGGTAGTCTTTTTTTTCCCTTCTTCAGCTCTATTTAGGAGGTTTAGATTGGATTGGCTTTTTACCCCACCAGGACATGACACAAGCGATAAACACCTGATGACACAAAGTGCCACCATGCGGATGAGGATCACCGTGTAGAGGTCCCAGAAACCGCGTTCAGACATTTGGCCATAATGATGACCTGCCTATATTGCGGCCCCTGGCAAAAGCCAGAGTGGGGCTTCAAATAACAAAAAACAACGTCCTAAGAAGGACGTAAGAAACAATACACATTTAGGAGGTTTATTGGCTTTCTGATATTTTGTTTTTCCTCTTTAGCCCTATTACAGTGGTTTCCTGGCTTTCTGGTATGTTGTTTTTAAAAATTTTTTTCCCCCCTAGCTTTATAACGGCGGTTAACTGGTTTTATGGTGGTTTGGTTTCTTGCTCTTTAGCACTATCACGGTGGCTCAGAGTCTTTGATGCGGAGTATTTTCTTTTTTCGATTTGTTGCTGAAAGTTCGAAGAGAGGTAATCTAATAGAAAAAGGATTTCTCCGGTAATGTCCCCTTGACCAGCTACGGCCGAGCTACAGACGTATATACATAAGAATAACGTTAAAAAAAAAAAAAAAAAACTTTTTTTAAGCAGAATCTAGTTGCTTACGACACGCTTGTAAAAAGTATTACTTTTAACTGGAGTGTTATCCTATGATAGACTCACGCACGATGCTACAAGAGAATCAGTTTTGTATTCCACGGTTAATGCAACAAGAAAGATCTTCAAAAGGCAACCTGTGATTTTTTTTTTTTAATTTTTAATTTTTTATTTTTTATTTTTGTTGTTTGAAGCCCCACTCTGGCTTTTGCCAGGGGCCGCAATATAGGCAGGTCATCATTATGGCCAAATGTCTGAACGCGGTTTCTGGGACCTCTCCACGGTGATCCTCATCCGCATGGTGGCACTTTGTGCCATCGGGTGTTTATCGCTTGTGTGATGTCCTATGGGGTAAAAAATCCAATCCAATCCCATTCGACATTGTTTAATAACTTGTCCCCATGTGAGATGCAATTTTGTGTTTTTTGAAACCCCACCCTGGCTTCTGCCGGGGGCCTTGAATAAAGCAGGGCCATAAATATGGCCTAGGCCAGAGATATGGCCTAACGGCTGAAAGGGGGTTCCTGGGACCTCTCCACAGGAGACCCTCATCCGCATGGTGGCACTTGCTGTCACCGGGTGTTTATTGCTTGTGTGATGTTCTGGTGGGGACAACTACCTACCTCATACGACAAAAATGCGTGTACTTGTCGTCCTCATGTGAGATGCATTTTTTCGTTACGTTGAAGCCCCACCCTTGCTTTTAGTCGGGGGCCCTAAGTATTGTCGGCCCTTAAATATGGCCCAAATGTTGAATGGGGTTTCTGGGACCTCTCCACGGGTGATACTCATCCGCAATGTGACACTTTGTGTCACCGGATGTTTATCGCTTGTGTGATGTCCTTGTGGTACCTTCCTCGTACGATAAAAACATTCTAGAGACCGTGCGGTTTTATCCCTAAAACGATCACTTCTATAAAAGCATAAACACAAAAATGACAGCAAGTAAACTGTATAGGAAATGGGTCCTATCGACAGATAGGAAGAGGTTTGGAAATTAAAGGTGAAACAAATATTGCTGTTATTGTAGTGAATAGTGTCGATAATCACAAAAAAAAAAAAAAAAAAATACAGCATACGACAGGAGAAATTCATTTTTCTATTTTAAGATTTCTGCTATTGAAAGCTCGCACAATCTGAAACCATGTTTTAGCGCTAACAGACAACATAATTTCAGTGGGAATTAAAATTTTTGTTTTCTATCCTCCAGTTACTGCAATAAGAAATCGCTGACCATGGCGTGCTTTTGATATCAGTTTTTATATGGGTTGACAGCCAGCGAACGAACCAATCTACCTACCAATAAACCAACTGAATTACCTGCTAGTCAACCCCCCCCCCCCCCCCCAAAAAAAAAAAAAAACACATTGAATCAACAAATCTCACAACCAGCCCACCAATTAATTAACCAAATGTTGCATGTTGAATTAGGAATCGACATCACAGCACTCAGGACACCCCCATCAGCGCTCCGTCTCCATCTTCAGCAGGAAGCAAAGAGTTAAAATTCCGATGGCACTAGTAACTGTTTGAATGTATATTCGTCTCGCCTTTCTCATGAGTGTCAAGCGTTGGCTAGATCCCTTTGTAACTCCTCGCGGTGCATTCTCCTCAGAACGTAATGATCTATCCGTGCCTCAGCACTGTTCACTCGGTCCGAAAGGGCGCTCAAAACATCAGCTTGTGATACATCAGTTCACCACCAAGTGGTAAAGGACCGGCTAGTCTATCTGCCTGCTCACTTCCTAACACACTGGCGTGACCTAGAGAAAATATCCAAAGGATGCTAACTACCCGGGTCCTCTGAAGTGATGCTTGCCACTTTGCAAGGAGCATGCCTGTCTCTACCCTTTTCAACATGCTCTGTGAGTCAGTTATAATGACGGCATGTGTGTACAGCTGATTCTCACGCCAGCTGAAAGCAGCAGTGACTGCCTCCACCTCCATTCTCAAATTACATGTTGTGATATAATATGCCAAGCTTTGTTTTACTAAGCGACGCCCATTCGCCTTCGTTATGAACCTCCATGCACTTAATTAACCAACCAACAGTGACCTAATCTATCAATAATAATATTCCTTACAACAAAGCAACCAGTCAGAGACAACCATCGAACTAGCCAGCTAGCTAAGTCTGTCCAACCAACTAAGCAGCCAGCAAATCAACGATACGTCTTAAATCTCTAACCGTGAGCGTTTCATGCATGTAGACCAGTGGTACTGAACCTTCTTAATGTCGCGACCATTTAATACAGTTCCTCATGTTGTGGCGACCCAAAACCACACAGTTTTTTTCGTTGCTTCCTTATAACTTCAGTAAATATGTGTTTTCCGATTGTCTTTGGCAACCCCGGTAAAAAAGTCGTTAGATCCACAAAAGTGTCGCGACCCACAGGCTGAGAACCGCTGATGTAGACTCACCTGCAAGGACATGACGAGCGACATGAAGTGCAAGTAAAACGGGTACAACACGGAGTCCAGCTCTGGTCTCACTGGGAGTATGAGGAACTGAAGACCGAACAGAGGCACCAGAATCAGTGTGGCCTTGGCAGCTTTCCTGCACAGATAATAACCATTAAATCAGTACATTTTTTGAAGTCAAATATGATGGCATTGCAATTAAGGATTTTGCTTCAGAAAAACTGTTCCTTGTAAACAGACATGCCTAACAGATGTTCTATGCATAAATAGGCGGGGAGGGGGAGGGGAGGGGTGGTGGTGGTGGTGGTTGGGGGGGGGGGGGGGGGGGGGGGAGTCAAACCCAGTGAGATAAAAAGGGGGAAACAAAAGGGGTGGGGGGGGGTCCAAACAAGGCTCACTTTGACCCCTCCCCCATTTTGCCTAGAATATTAAGGAAACGGTTGGGGGGTGGGGGGGGGGAGGGAGAGGGGGAGGGGGGGGTGCATATAAAGTCTTTTTTCCCTTCAAGTAAGTGTTTACACATTTCATAAAAAAAAAAAAACTGTTATTATATTTTTTCAACTTTTAAATTATATTTGTTATTATCATTATTTTAACTTTTGTTCTGAATGACAAAAAATTATAATATTTTTCTTGAAATAAAATAAAATGTAGAAACACATAATTCAAATATAATTTCTAAAGATGGTTATAGGGTGTCTCGAAATCACCGTAAAAAATTATTTAGGGGAGGAGGACGCAGCCATTCCTTAAAAAACCGTGGGCGGAGGGGGGGGGGGGGGAGCAGGGAGCCTCAAAGGGGTTCAGTTTAAGTTCAGGCAACGAGGAAGAAGTCGCCGTGGCCGAGCGGCTAGACGCTCGTCGAGGATCGGAAGGTCGTGGTTTCGCTCCCTGGCGGAGCCGGACTTTTGTCAAAAATGACCTTGGCTTTCAGGTCGACCCAGCATTGAGTGGGTACCGGGTGCAGTCCCGGGAAAGTAAAGGCGGCCGGCGTGATGCTGACCACCACTCCCCCATCTTGTGCCGTTTGGTCTATAAAAATATAGGTCTAGCCCTATATGCCCTATACGCCTAAAGACGTGGAAAAGGGCCCTTTACTTTTTTTACGAAGAAAAGAGAAATGGCCAAGGCATGATGTATTAGTCTAGGATTGAAATTTTTTTTTTAAAAATCTTGGGCAGCAATCGCCATAGAGAGATTGTAGATTAATAGTGTTTAGGCCTAGGTCACGTATGAATTTCGAACTTGATGAGTTATTCAATGCTTCAAGCTTCCAGTAGAGCTTTCTCTTTTAAACATCAACCGTCTAAGATTAGCTACTACGGTTTAATCATAGCGCAGTTCTCTTCCTCCAACTAGACTGCAAGATTAGACAGACAGAAAGATTAGACAGAACGAACTAACGAACAAACGAACTTTATTTTCAAAGGGTCACAAATTGGGCACGCAGGCCCGTCTTACATTCGGCCCTTCCAGTCAACCATCTTTCGCACAGCAGTTGTATTTTACCAATAAAGCATGTTATGATCATATGATGTTATGCATATTATGAATATTATAAAAGAACACAAAAGCATGAGTTGTAAAGTGCATGCAAAAACCTGCGCGTGCATGCATACACCCACATACACACGCTCACCCACTCACTTACACACACAAACATGCATGCATACATTACATACATACATACATACATACATACATACACAGATACATACAAACAAACATGCATACACAAAGAGAGAGAGAGAGAGAGAGAGAGAGAGAGAGAGACATTTAGATAGATGGACAGACATAAATGCAGACAGACAGATCAACAGGCAGTTTTCGAGAAAATGGCTTGCAAGTGTGTTCACGAGAAGATGAACAAACTTTAGCTATAATACGAATCGTAGGAATATACATAGGAGTATATAATACACAGAGTGCAAACAAACCTGTTCTCGTTGACGTTTGGAACTTGCCTCAGTTTGGTCATCAGCAACCGGACTAGGTTCACAAGGATGCAAATGTTTATCTGAGCAGACAAAAGCCAGTCAGGAATGACATGTCTGTCTGTCTGTTGTCTGTCTGTCTTTGTGTCGGTCGGCCTGCGTGCGTGCATGCATGCGTGTGTGTGTGTGTGTGTGTGTGTGTTTGTGTGTGTGAGTTGAGTTAGATTGTGTCAAGTATCAAAATCACAGCACTCAGGGCATTCCCATGCGTGCTCCGTCCTCATTTTCAGCAGTCAGCGCAGAATTCCAATACCGATGGCGCCAGGCACAATCTGGTTATATGTCCGTCCTTGCCTTTCTTCTGAGTGTAGTGAGCCGGCCAGACCGTCTGATGACATCCAGGTGACTCATTCTCTTCAGGTCATAATAATTTTGTTTCTCTACTGATTCCGTTGCTTGTTCCCAAAGGGTCTTGATCACTTCTGCCTTGTCATGTATCAGTTCACCACCCAGTGGTGCAGATCCGGCCAGTCTGCCTGTCTGCTCATTACCCCCTAGGCCGGCATAGCCTGGAAAATAGATCTAAAGTATGCTCACTACCCGTGACCTTCCCAGTGAAGCTTGCTTCGCTGCTCAAAGGAAACCTGTCTTCACCTTTCTCAGCATATCTTCAGAGTCATGTCATGTCTGTCTGTCTGTCTGTCTGTCTGTCTGTCTGTCTGTCTGTCTGTCTGTCTGTCTGTCTGTCTGTCTGTCTGTCTGTCTGTCTGTCTGTCTGTCTGTCTGTCTGTCTGTAGGCAGGCAGGCAGGCAGGTAGGTAGGTAGGTAGGTATGTATGTGTGTATGTGTGTATGTATGTAGGTATGTAGGTATATAGGTATATAGTCGGCTCTGTGGCTTAGTCGATGTGAACGCTTCGTAATGCTGGGGTTCCGGGTTCGATCCCAGCTGCGGGTCATGCGCCTTGCTTGGTTTCGACAGTGGTATCAGGTTGCCGACCGCCTAGTAAGCAATGGCAAACTATTAGACGTAAATTTGCCTAGAGAAACCCCACAACAGTCAGAGCTGCTTGGGTTCGTTCTGCAACGTCCTGTAAAGGATTCGCAACTAACCTAACATATATATATATATGCGTGTGTGTGTATGTGTGTGTGAGTATACCTAAACGTATATGGAATTACTCACAATCACTGAAGCCGCAACAGGAGCCGCTATGATCCACTGGAAAATGTCCTCTTGCATCCAGCAGCTGTAAAATTAGACGAATGAACCAAAAAGACAAAATAAAAATTTACATGCATACATCATATCAAAGTCAGGCTCATGAAGGGAGACATTACAACCAACATCTCATGGGATTAATCAATAGATGTACGTTGCAGTGGCTGCTTCCCTAGAGAACTGAGCACGCACGGGAATGCATGTGCAATGAAGTCGATTGTGAAAATAAAAAATACAAGAAAGTCAGATATGTGAGCGCGCGCGCTAGTGTGTGTGTGTGTGTGTGTGTGTGTGTGTGTGTGTGGGGGGGGTAAAAAAAAAAAAGGGGGGGGGGGTAAACTGAGAGTTGGCTGGAGGAGGTTTAAAAAAGGGGTCTTCTTGG